TAAAACGTCATTAAATGGTAACTAATAGCTTGACTAGTTGAAATTCTCTTGTGTTAGGTTAATATAAGAGTTAGCGGCCCTGACTTGGCCGGTTTGGCTCAGCGGTTAGAGCGTCAACCTGCGGTCCTGAGAGAACCGGGTTCGGTTCCCGCTAAGGGCGTGTACCTCGGTTGCAGTTTGTCCCCGGCCCTGGTAGGTCGTGCAGGTGGCAGCCACTCGATGTGTTCCTTTCACGTCGATGTTTCTCTCTCTCTGTTCCTCTCTCTCCCTCCCACTCTACCTGAACAAAAAAATGGGAAAATGTCCTCGGGTGAGGATAAAAAAAAAAAAAAAAAGAGTTAGCGGCCCTGGTCAGGTTTGCTCAGCGGTTAGAGCGTCAGCCCATAGACCGGAGAGTCCTGGGTTCAGTTTCCTCTAAGGTATGGGTGGCGGCCAGTCAGTGAGTCTCTCTCAATTCGATGTTTCTCTCTCTCTCTTCCCACCTCTCTTCCCTCTCTTACCCCCTCTCCCTCCCTCCCTCCTGCTTTATCTGAAGATAAATGCAAAAATGTCCTCAGGTGAGGATAAAAAAACAGAAACATAAGAGTTGGCGAACTGCCGTCTCAGTCCAAATGTAGCCCACTGCCTGTTTTTGTACAGCCTGTGAGCTGAGAGTTTTTATTGTTTGTTTGTTTATTTAAACTTTTTTCTTTATTGATTTTAGAGAGGAGGAGAGAGAGAGAGAAACATCGGTGAGAGAGAGTATCAATTGGCTGCCTCCTGCATGTGCCCCACTGGGGATTTGGCCCACAACCTGGGCATGTGCCCTGACCGGGAATTGAACCAGTGACTTCTTGGTGCATGGGTCTATGCTCAACCACTGAACCACATTGGCCCGGCGAGCTAAGGGTTTTTAAATGGGAGGGAAAAAGTGAATAGCTTTTCATGGCATATGAACATTATATGAAAATTCTAATGTTGGTGACCATAAATAAAGTTTTATTGGAATACAGCCATGCTCATTTATTTGTATATTATTGTCTGTGTTGCTTTTGCACTACAATGGAAGATTGAGTGGTTGCAAGAGAAAACATATGGAAGTCTTAAATATTTACTATCTGGTGACCCTGGATGGGAAAAGTTTGCTGCACTTTGAGTTCCTCAGGGAACCAGACCAAAATAGAAAGCAATTGAATTTCTGTGTCAGGTGACTAAATTTAGTTTATAAATGCTGATTAGGTGTAAGATATTGAGTACTATGTTCAAGTGTGGTTTTGTGGAATGAAACACTTGGGATTATGAGGATTTTCCTAACCAGGATTGATGGGATCTTTTTGGCAGCATGGAGATTTTAGGTTCTAGGTTTTTACCAACTCTACCTAACTGCCTCCCTCTGCTCTGTGGGAGGAGGTGGATATTAGCAAATAGTGGCTTCTCAAACTTGGATGAGTCCTTTCATTTCTAAGGGGTTGCAGTTAACATTTCTGCCTTTGGGGTCTTAATTCATATTGCTTGAAATGTTTAGAAGAAACCAAGCAGAGAGCTTTTCTGGAGGAGAGCCATTATTTCTGCATGAAAACTCACTATGGCAGGTAGTTCAGTTTTAGTTTGGACCCCATTGCTTGGCTGTGGACAATTAGTTACGGGTTTTTTGGCACATTTCTGGACACAGTTGTATGGAAGCAATGGGTTTTTTTTTTCTTTATTGATTTTAGAGAGCTAGGAAGGGGTGGGGGAGGGGGGAGAGAGAGAGAGAGAAATAACAATATCGATGAGAGAGAACATCGATTGGCTGCCTCCTGCATGCCCCTCACTGGGGATGTGTCCCACAGCCTGGGTATGTGCCCTGACCAGGAATAGAACCAGCGACCTCTTGGTGCATGGGTTGATGCTCAACCAGTGAGCCACACCAGCCCGGCACAACAGTTCTTTTTCAAGTGATTTAGCCTTTGGTTCCAGCTCTGCTTTCTCTCATTTGTGAGGATCCCTATGGCAATAACAGATTGACTCAGTAAGTCCACATGATTGGCTCCTTAATAGGACTTGAGGATTTTCAGATTTGGGATGGCCTGTCTTCCTTAGAACAGGGTTAACATGCCATAGTTTCAACATGGAAGAATTACTCCATACTTCAGCTGAATTTTTTAAAAATATGTCTTTATTGATTTTTTTAGAGAGAGAAACACGGATGTGAGAGAGAAACACAATTGGCTGCCTCCTGCATGCCCCCCACTGGGAATTGAGCCTGCAATCTGGGCATGTGCCCTGACCTGGAATCGAACCAGGACCTCTCAGTCCATGGGATGACACTCAATCCCTGACCCATATTGGCTGGGCAAGCTGAAAGTTTTATCCCCAGCCTCTTTTTGGTTTTTAGCAACTTTTCATGAAGGGTCTGCCTTAGAATAGTTTCTATTAAAACAGTACTTCCAATGTAATTTTTGTTCATTATTTCAGATTATGTTCCTTAGTTTGAAACCATATTTAAATCTGATTCAGACATGGTCCACTGCATATTTGAAAGAAAAAAGACAAAGTTAAGATTCAAATCACTTTGGTTCTAACACATAAAATTTAGGCTTATAAAATAAAAAGGAGCTTTATAAATGATTCCCAAATACAGAAGTTGATTTGTAATTTTTTTTTATCTTCACCGGAGGACATTTTTCCATTTTTTGTTCAGATAAAGCGCGAGGGAGAGAGAGAGAGAGAGAAACATCGACGTGAAAGAGACACATCGAGAGGCTGCCACCCGCACGACCCATCCAGGGCCCAGGACAAACTGCAACCAAGGTACGTGCCCTTAGCAGGAACTGAACCCGGGTCTCTCCAAACCGCAGGCCGGTGCTCCAACCACTGAACCAAACCGGCCAGGGCTGATTTGTAATTTTAAGGACTAAACTACCTTGAACTGTTAGGGTTTGATCATGAAGGGAAACAAGTGTAGAGCTGAATCTAGTGTCTACATATTTTTGTGTTTTTTACCTTTCCCTTTAAAAGAGGGAATGGGCCCGGCTGGTGTGTCCCAGTGGTTGAGCGTCGACCCATGCACCAAGAGGTTGCCAGTTTGATTCCCGGTCAGGGCACATGCCCAGGTTGTGGGCCAAATCCCCAGTGGGGGACATGCAGGAGGTGGCCAATCGATGTTCTCGCTCTTTCAAATCAATAAAGGAAATAAATAAATAAAAGAGGGAATGGGGATGAGGGACAAGGCACACAAAAGTTGATTTCAGGAATTGGGAAGTCATGAAGTCTTGGTACTCTTGCTCCCTGACCCTATTCTGGAGGTCATTCGTTCTTGTTTTGTTTGGCATACCGTTTTCTTTCTACTTTAGATGTTATTTTATTTGTTGCCTAACATATTCTAATATTTGTTGAAACCCTCTCACAGCTATTTACAGAGGGAGCTTTAATAAAATACTATGATGTTTAATCCTCTAAATGTAAATATGAATGTACTAGAACAAAGCATCTTGGACCTAAAATAGTGGTTAGTATAACTCTACCTAATGGTCTAGAACACAGTTAACTTTAATTTTTTAATAAACATTAGCTTTATTAAGCTCTTCATACTTGTTACTTTTTTCTATATGTGCCTTGTCTATTTCTTACATTGCAGAGTTGTCCATGAAATCCATGACAAAAATTTGAATATGAGGCAGATTTTTGAATTTTTGTGTAACAGATTTTCAGCACCATATGACATGTATGTGATAGTTGTTATAAGGAGATTTGCTTATTATTTTTACCTAAAAGGTATACCTGTAGATAGATTTTTTAATTTAAAATATTAAATAGGTTAAACGTAAAGTCATCTATAATCTTATTAAACTTTTTAACATAATAGCAGAAGTAAAAGTTCCCCCACCTGTTTATAGCTTGTTTGAATCTTTCCTGACTTGATGTTTATATGAACATACCTATATACATGTGCATATTATTTCCATTTTTGCTTAATAACAAAACAATAAAAACAAAACACACCAGTGATTAACTTGCTTTTTTCATGTATGTCATGAACCATCTTCCAAGCCAGTGCTTCTAAACTTCCCTTATTAATTTCAATGGCTGCATACTCCACTATTATGGATGGTACCATATATCTACAACCGGTCCTCTATTGATGGACATACGGTTGTGTCTAGTTTTTTGCTGGCATTGTGATAGGTTAGAGGCTGTAATGAATGGTAAGGAAGTAGGTAGCACTACTACTTTAATGAAAAAAGTAGAGAAGAAACTTCCTTTGCCATAGTCACTTACTAAATGAAATATAAAACACTGTCAAAAGTTGAGAGGACCAAAATTGATACTTTTTCTCTGATCTTTTTGCCATGTGTATATCTGAATTCTTTGTTTTTAAAGAAGAAACAGCATTGAAGCATTATTTGGGGGGAAAAACACACACACAAAATCCAGCAACTCAGCATTCATGAGCAACTCTATACTATACCAGTATGTGCCTGTGCAGTGGAAGGAAAACAATTTTGGTAAGGAATTAAAACTTTAGCATTAAACTTCCAACAGGTTGATATTTATAATGAATGATGAATCAAAAATTTTTAATATTATGTTGATAGTACCGTTTTAAAAAAGAAGTCACCATACCTTTGATATCTTTAATTTCAGTTTAAACTATTTCCCTTTCTCCTTTAAAAAACAACAACTGAATTTGCAGCCAACAAAAGTTAGATATGTCCTAAGGTGTGTATTTCTTCTGACTTTTATTAAAATAACTGTTAACATTTATTAGAGATGTTTATGGGTCAACTTTATCCTTTTCTTCAAGGGGCCACATTCACTAATTGCTGAGTTTTATACATATTACAGCAACAGTCCTTTTGTAGGTGTGTTGCACCCATCTAGATGCTTTGAGATGCTCATGTAGTTTTTTTTAAGTATTTATACATGGGGGATTATCATTGGTAGGGTTTTGTTTGTTTTTTCGTTAAACCTAAATATATGACATCTGTTATACTTGTTTCTTAAATGTAATCTTTTTTTCTACCTTTTGCATTATATAGGAAATATATCCTGGACAATTCCAACCATCTCTCTGTCACAAATTCATAGCATTGTCAGATAAGGAAGGAAAACTACTTCGAAACTATACTCAGAACATAGATACACTGGAACAGGTTGCAGGAATCCAAAGGATAATTCAGTGTCATGGTTAGTAATCTTCAGATTTTCTTTCTGTTATTTAGTTATGTTTTCTAGAGAAAAACAGGGTTAGAAAGTAGACTGCCATTCAGGAATGGAGATTGAGCTTTATTATTTACTCATGTTTTCTGATCAATTGTAGATAAAATAAGAGTAGAATGTAAAACACATGAAACCGGAAGTATTGGCCTTGACTCTTAATTGTACAAAACATCAGAAATCAGTGTGTTTTTGGATTTCAAACAACATAGCACTTGCATTCCATTAAATTCTTTTAAGTAACCTTTTTTATTACAAAAGGAATATTAGCTATGTATAAAAAAATGACATCTTTAGATTATGAAACTAAAGGAACTGGGTAGCTCAGATGAACAGGATTTAGAATAGGATTCTTAGTAGTAGTAGAACAAGAATGAACAGAACATTATGTATCTAAACTATTTGTAAAACTACTATTAATTAAGCTAAGGCAATACTGTGCAATTGTATCCTTCCAATATGTAGAGTATTAGCTCTGGAAGAATTGGTTTATTGTGTTGAAAAGAGTAGTCGCTTTAGGGGAGTCGTCATTGTATTAGCATCTCAGCAATTGAGGGTTGGATTCTCTCCCTTATTTATTATAGAAGTATTTTAATTATTCATCTCCCTAGATTCTCCCTTAGAATCTTTTAAAATTTATTCTAACCTTTGTGGTATGTTTAATAAATAGAAACATTTCTTTAATAAAACATACATGTTGATTGTTTTTAGGTTCCTTTGCAACAGCGTCTTGCTTGATTTGTAAATACAAAGTTGACTGTGAAGCTGTACGAGGAGATATTTTTAATCAGGTAATTAATTTATCACCTATATTTTAGGAATTGTGCATGTCTTTAATCTGTTTTTTCTTTTGCCTCCCAAACTTTTTTTTTTTTTTACTGAAAGTATTCATGTGGAATAGAAAGGTCTCAGAAGAGAGTACTAAGAGTGTTACCACTGGGAATTCTGGTGAAATACACGAGAATTTTTCAGTACCTTAAGTTGAAAACATTGGTCCATAATGTCTCTAAATGATGAAATTGGCTCCTTAATATCAAAGACTAAAATACAAACCGAGATCAACCCTGGCTGGTTTTGCTCAGTGGTTAGAGTGTTGGCTCGCAGACTGAAGTGTCGTGGGTTCGATTTCTAGTCAAGGGCGTGTACCTGGGTTGCAGGTTTGATGCCCACCCCCAGTTGGGGTCATGCAGGAGGCAACCAGTTGATGTGATCTTTCACATCGATGTCTCTCTCCCTCCCTTCCTCCCTTAGACTCTAAAAAAATCCATGGAAAAATATCCTCGGGTGAGGATTAAAAAAACAAACCAACCCCAGATCATTAGTGAGGTATTGCTATATTGGTTTTTCTCCTTACTCTCCCTTTTTAGTGCCTGTCAGATTCAGAATCTTAAATGAGGATGGTAATTTTTTTTTTAAATTCATTTTTGTTACAGATGAGGGTGGTAATTCTTTAAAACATTTAAAATATTATTGTAAAAGGTATTTTATGAATGCTCACTTACAAAATAATACAAGAAAATAGCCCTGGCCGGTTTGGCTCAGCGGTTAGAGCGTCAGCCTGTGGTCCAGAGAGACCCAGGTTCGTTCCCGCTAAGGGCGTGTACCTCAGTTGCAGTTTGTCCCCGACCCTGGATGGGTCGTGCGGGTGGCAGCCACTTGATGTGTCCCTTTCACGTCGATGTTTCTCTCTCTCTACCTCTCTCTCCCTCCCACTCTACCTGAACAAAAAATGGAAAAATGTCCTCGGGTGAGAATTAAAAAAGAATAAAAACTATCCAGAAATAGCCCGGCCAGTATGGCTCAGTGGTTGAGCCTCAACCCATGCACCAAGAGGTCACTGGTTCGATTCCCGGTCAAGGCACATGCCCAGGTTGTGGGCCAGATCCCCAGTGGGGGTGCATGCAGGAGGCAGCCAGTCAGTGTTCTCTCTCATTGATGTTTCTAGCTCTCTCTTCATCTCCCTTTCTTTCTAAAATCAATAAAGAGAAAATATTTAAATAAATAAAAACTATCCAGAAATAAATTCTATTCACTTACCTGCATATATAACCATGTATAATTATGAGGAGGATAGGTATATATAAATGGAATCCTTGTATTTTTATTTGTTGATTTTTAGAGAGAGAGAGACATTGATTTTTTGTTCCACTTATTTATGCATTCATTGGTTCATTCTTGTATGTGCCCTGACTTGTGATTGAACCCACAACCTTGGTATTATCAGGACGACTCTCTAACCAACTGAGCTACTAGGCCAGGGCAGAAGCATTGTATCTTACAAAATTATTATTATTATTTTTGTTGTTGTTAATCCTCACCTGAGGATATTTTTCCATTGATTTTTAGATAAGAGTGGAGGGCTGGGGGCAGATTTAAAAAAATTATTTGTTTGTTTTTTTATCTTCACCCAAGCATTTTTTCCCATTGATTTTTAGAAAGAATGAGAGGGAGGGAGGGAGAAAGAGAAGGAAGCGGGGAGAGGGAGAGGAAAACATCAATGTGAGAGAGACACATTGATTGGTTGCCACCCACACGTCCCTGACCAGGGCTGGGGATCCAGCCTGCAACCCAGGTACATGACCTGGAATCCAACCCACAATCCTGTGGTCCACAGGCCGACACACTACCCACTGAGCCAAACCGGCCAGGGCCAAACTTAAATCTGTGTGAGTGTGTGTGTGTGTTTATGATTTGTACATGTGTGTACATATATACACATGCTTGTCTTTCCTTTTAATATACAGTGAACCCTTGAATATCAAATGTAGGTTTGTACAGATGTATAATAGCGTACACAGTTAATAGTAACATTGTATTTCATTCTATGTTAATAAATGATCAGTGACAATTGACATTGATGTTTAGGTTGTATCCAGTTTCCCTGCTATTCATCCACAACTTTTCTGTTTTCTTTGATGATTTTAAAATAAATTCTTAGGAAGTATGGAAACATTGACTATTTCTAACTTGGGCTTTCCCTTCTCTTCCCCACCTCAACCAAAATCCTGAAACATGCAGGTGGTTCCTCGATGTCCTAGGTGCCCAGCTGATGAACCACTTGCTATTATGAAACCAGAGATTGTCTTTTTTGGTGAAAATTTACCAGAACAGTTTCATAGAGCCATGAAGTATGACAAAGATGAAGTTGATCTCCTCATTGTTATTGGGTCTTCCCTGAAAGTAAGACCAGTAGCACTAATTCCAAGTAAGTTGGTGATGATTTTTAGAGACAATTTCCACATATATTGCGGTGGGTTGTGAGTCTGTACAGTACAGTCTACCCCAATGATCTTACTCTGTTTCTGGTTAAAGAGTGATGAAGAGCCAACCTTTTTTTTTTTTTTTTTTGGTGGTATATGCCCCTAGCGGGAACCGAACCCAGACTCTCTTGTCTGCAGGCCGACGTTCAACCGCTGAGCCAAATTGGCCAGGGCGAACCTTTTTTTTTTAATCCTCACCCAAGGTTATTTTCTCCAATATCTTCAAATAGAGTGGGAGGTGGGGGAGAGAGAGAGAGAAACAGTGATGTGATAGTGACACATTGATTGGTTGCCTCCCGCATGACCCCAACCAGGGCCAGGGATGAACTGCAACTGAGGTACATGCCCTTGGCTGGAATCAAACCCATTACTCTGGTCCACAGGCCGATGCTCTGACCACTGAGAAAAACCGGCCAGGGCAAGAGCCAAACTTTTAGGCAACATTCTTGTTCATGAAGATTGGTTCATTTGACTTGTTGGTGGGGTGTAGAGGGAAGAGGGATGTCCAAACAGAAATAATGTCAGATTCTCATGTATATGAAAAATTAACACAAAGGGAAACAGCTCAATGAAAACTAAGTTAAAATTTGTAGCTTGATAGAAGTATAATGTATTATGTTAGATATAATTTGGGGATTCAAAATGATTGGCATGGCTCTGGCTGGTTTGGCTCAGCGGTTAGAGTGGCAGTCTGTGGACCACAGAGTCCCGGGTTCAGTTCCCGCTAAGGGCATGTACTTTGGTTGCAGTTTGTCCCCGCCCTGGTTGGGGTCATGTGGGTGGCAACCAGTCGATGTGTCTCTCTCTTCCCCCCGTCTCTCTCCCACTCTATCTGAAGATAGATGCAAAATGATTGGCATGTTTTTGTAAGAATAGCAGTCATACCTTGTCATAACCATTGGATATGTAGTGTAACTATTGTACATTATCCATAAAGGTGTTTGTGTGTATAAAAATGCTCAAATACAATTGAAGTTCCAAAGTAAACAGAGTAGACAGCTAGGGTAAACAGCTGGAAGAAACGAGGATTTAGACTCTAATTCTGCATCTTTTTTCTACCCTATGTGTAGTCAGTCACTTTTAACAATATAACTGTCTTCCCTAAGTAACTATGAAATTCTATTAAATGAGAATATAGGACAATTTGTAATTTAATAAGACATGGAAATTTAATGTATTAGTTCCTTTATTTTTGAGTTATCTTTTTCTCCTTAAAGGTAAGGCAGAGACTTTTTTTTATTTGTTGTTAAGCCTCAACCCGGGATATTTTTTCCATTAATTTTTTTTAGAGAGAGTGGAAGGGAGGGAAGTGGGAAGGGTGGGTGGAGAGAGAGACACACACACACTGATGTGAGAGAGAAAAAATGGATTAGCTGACTCCTGCACACACCCGGACTGGGATCAGACCCACATCCTAGGTATTTGCCCTGACCATGAAATGAACCCTCGGCCTTTTGTTACTCTAGACAACACTCCAACCAACTGAGCCACACTGACCAGGGCAATCCACTGCTTTTATATGTGTTTGCCTTTGGCAGTGAGATTTTTTTCCCTTGTCTTTTCTTATTCATATTTCTTATTTTTTCTACCCAAGAAGTCCCTTTTACATTTTTTGTAATACTGGTGGGTGGTGATGAACTCCTTAATTTTTTTGTTGCCTGGTAAACTCTTTATTTTCCTTTGATTCTAAATGATAGCCTTGCTGGGTAGAATACTCTTGGTTGTAGGTTCTTGCTTTGCATCACTTGCTTTGCATCACTTTGAATATTATTTGCCAATCCCTTCTGCCCTACATAGTTTCCATTGAGAAATAAGCTGACAGTCTTATGAAAACTTCCTGGTAGGTAACTAACTGCTTTTCTCTTGCTGCTGTTAAGATTCTTTGTCTTTAACCTTTGGCATTTTCATTTTGATGTGTCTTGGTATGGGCCTCTTTGGGTTCATCTTGTTTGGGACTCTCTGGAATCTTGGACTTGTATGTCTAGTTGTTTTTTCCCCAGGTTAGGGAAGTTTTTAGTCACTATTTTTTCAAATAGGTTTTCCATCCCTTGCCCCATCTTCTCTGTTTGGGACCCCTATGGTGCAAATGTTGGTATCCTTGATGCTGTCCCAGAGGCCTCTTAAACTATTCTCTCTTTTTTTTTTTTTTTTAATCCTCACCCGAGGACATGTGCATTTATCTTCAGATAGAGCAGGAGGGAGAGAGGGAGGAAGAGAGAGAGAAACATTGACTGGCTGCCACCCACACGACCCCAACCAGGGCCGGGGACGAACCGCAACCAAGTTACATGCCCTTAGCGGGAACCAAACCTGGGACTGTCTGGTGCACAGGCTGATGCTCTAACCGCTGAGCAAAACTGGCCAGGGCATATCCTCTTTTTTTAATCCTCACCTGAGGATATTTTTTCATTGATTTTTTTTTTTTTTTTTTTTTTTGAGCTAGAGTTGAGAGAGACAGAGAAGGAAGTATTGATATGAGAGACACATTGATTGGTTGCCTCCTGCATGAACCAACTGGGCTGGAATGAAACCTGCAACCCTGGTACGTGCCCTTGATTGGGAATTGAACCTATGACCCTTCAGTCCATGGGCCGATGCTCTAACCGGTGAGCCAAACTGGCCAGGGTTATCTTCATTAAAACTTTTTTTTTTTTTTTTGCTGTTACAGTGGGTGTTTTTCGTTGCTTTGTTTTCCAGATCACTAATTTGATTCTCTGATGCATCGAATCTGATGTTGATTCTGTCTAGTATATTCTTCATTGCAGTTATTCTTCAGTTTTGATTGGGTCTTTTTATGTTTTCTCTCTCCTTTGTTGAAGCTCTCACTAAGTTCATCTGTTTTCCCAAGTTCATTCAGCAGTCTTATAACCAGTGTTTTGAATTTATGTGGTAGATTATTTGTCTCTATTTCGTTTAGTTCTTTTTGGAATTTTGTCTTGTTCTTTCATCGGGAATTGTTTCATTGTTTCTCTGCTTATTTTGGCTGACTCTTTTTGTTTCTATGTATTAGTTAGATCTGCTGCAGCTCCCAGGCTTTTTTTTTTTTATCCTTACACGAGGACATTTTTTGCATTTATCTTCAGATAGAGCGGGAGGGAGAGAGAGACCTATGCCAAATCTGTGCTCGCCATTAACTTTACACTGTTCACCTGGCCCTGGTGATTCCAAGACTCAGCTCCACTCAAGTCCCTTGCCTGGCCAAAGCCTCTCCAACTCACTCCTCCATACAAAGGGCCTGCCTCAGCTGGTGCTACAGACTCTCTCAAAGGTCCGAAAACCCCGCACAATGCAGCAGGTGGCCTTAGCAGCACTGTAGCTCCTGCCAAGCAGCCCCAAGCCCAGCACAAGTGCAACTAGTCTCAACTTGCATTCTAACTCCCATTAGGTGGCTGCAGGCCTGGCTAAATGGTGGCCAGTGTTTGTAACATACCTCCAACTAAGAACAGTGAGAGAAACATCGACATGAGGGAGACACATCGAGTGGTTGCCACCCACACAACCCAACCAGGGCCGGGGACAAACTGCAACCGAGGTACGTGCCCTTAGTGGGAACTGAACCCGGGTCTCTCCGGTCTGCAGGCCGATGCTCTAACTGCTGAGCCAAACCGGCCAGGGCTCCCAGACCTGACAGAGTGGCCTTCTGTAGGTGTCCTGTGGAGCCCAGTAACAGTCTACTTGGTCACCTGGGAAGGGTGCTCTAGGGGTGTCTCCTGTGTGGGTTATATGTTTCCTCTGTTGTTGGGCCTTGATTGCTGCTGGTAGGTTAGTGGGTGGGGTTGACCCTCAGGCTGACTGCAACAGTGGATAAGCTGTTGTTTGGGGCTGACCCCATGGAGCCTGAGTCACTGTATTTAGCATTGTTCTGGAGCCAGTGAGTGTATCAGTTGTGGAACTGGTTGGGTGGGCTCTGTGGTCTGAAGCCGCCCACTTAGGTGTGTTGAGTCTGGAGCCTCTTGGGAGGAACTACAGTGCAGGCCAAGGTTACCTGGAACCTGTGTTGGTCTTGGAGCAGCTTGGTAGAGCTACAATGTAATTTGTGACTGGTTGCCTCTTGTGCTGGGCTTGGAGAGTGCTTGGAAGAGGCTATGCTATGAAGCAAGGCTGGCTGCCAGTTGTGCCAGTCTTGGCACCCTTTGGTGGGCACTATGGTGAGATGGGCACAGCTACCATTTGTGTTAGGCTTGTGGCCACTTAGTTGGAGGTATGTTACAAACACTGGCCACCATTTAGCCAGGCCTGCAGCCACCTAATGGGAGTTAGAATGCAAGTTGAGACTAGTTGCACTTGTGCTGGGCTTGGGGCTGCTTGGCAGGAGCTACAGTGCTGCTAAGGCCACCTGCTGCATTGTGCGGGGTTTTCGGACCTTTGAGAGAGTCTGTAGCACCAGCTGAGGCAGGCCCTTTGTATGGAGGAGTGAGTTGGAGAGGCTTTGGCCAGGCAAGGGACTTGAGTGGAGCTGAGTCTTGGAATCACCAGGGCCAGGTGAACAGTGTAAAGTTAATGGCGAGCACAGATTTGGCATAGGCCTGCCCTGGGCTGGTGGTAGGTGAGTTCAACAGTGGAAAAATGGTGCCTGCTAGCACTTCCATCCCCAGAGAAATTGACCGCTATCCCTGTCCCTCCAGCTCTCACCCTGAAGTAAGTCAATTTAATTCCTCCCCATATGTCTCTGGCATTTTTTTCTTTTCTTTTTAAACATTTTTTAAAAATTCTCACCTGAGGATTTTTTCATTGATTTTCAGATAGAGTGGGAGGGAGGGGTAGAGGGAGAGAGAGAAACACTGATGTAAGAGAGACATCCATTGGTTGCCTCCCGCTTGACTCTGACTAGGGCCGGGGTCAAACTGCATCCGAGGTACATGCCCTTGACTGGAATTGAACCCGCGACTCTGTTCCACGGGCCAATGCTCTAATAACCACTGTGCAAAACCAGCCAGGGCTAACTGTTTTTAAATTGATTTTTAGAGAGAGAGGAAGGGGAGGCAGGGGAGAGAGAGAAAAAAACATCAGTGAGAGAGAACATGGATTGGTCACCTCCTGCATATCCCGCACTGGGGATCAGGTCCACAACCTGGGCATGTACTCTAACTGGGAATCAAACCGGGGACCTCCTGGTGCATGGGTCGATGCTCAACCACTGAGCCACACTGGCTGGGCTGTCCCTGGCATTTTTCAAGCTGCTCCCTCTGCTGGAGCTTAGAGTACAAGGTCCTTTAAGAGCAGCACTTCTGTGTCTCACAGCTTTTGTTACTCTCAGATCCTTGCTCCTCTTCTGGCACTGGTGCCGAGGGCTATGTAGCATGATGTGAGGCTGGGACCACCTGCTCCTCAGGGGGGACCGTAGCAGCCAAGATATCCCTCCTGTGGGTGTGGGATTTTCCTGTTCTAAGTTCCTGCCCCTCCTACAAGTCTCGATGTGGCTTCTTTATATCCTTAGTTATGGGAATTCTGTTAAGCTAGTCTTCAGGTGGTTCTCAGTGATGGTTGTTCTATAATTCAGTTATAATTTTGATGTGATTGTGGGAAGAGGCGAGCTCAGTGTTTATATACTCTGCCATCTGGACCAGAAGTCCTAGCACTATATCAGGAGCTATTATCACTTGCTATGTTCCAGGAACTCTTCTATGCACTTGAAATATTTAACTCATTTAATCCTTACTTCAACTTTGTGGGAAAGTACTGTTATTCCCATTATACAAAGAAATTGAGGTATAGAGTAAAAAAGTCTTAAGAAGAGTGCTCAGAGCTAACCAGGTGACAGAAGCAGAACCTGAAATTTTATGAAAGGGTCTTAACTGCTCATCTGTTTCCTTGATAGCTTGATGAAATGTTAATGGCTTGGTTAAGTACTAGTGGCCAGTTTTCTTTTTGGTATTGGGAGCATGTTAGATTTTTGCGTAGTGCATTTGTTATGGTTTGATTAGCTTACTTACCTCCTCCCCTTTTTCTAACTCTTTATTTTTCACCCTATTTTTAGGTTCCATACCCCATGAAGTGCCTCAGATATTAATTAATAGGGAACCTTTGCCTCATCTGCATTTTGATGTGGAGCTTCTTGGAGACTGTGATGTCATAATTAATGAATTGTGTCATAGGTTAGGTGGTGAATATGCCAAACTTTGCTGCAACCCTGTAAAGCTTTCAGAAATTACTGAAAAACCTCCACGAACACATAAAGAGTCAGCTCATTTGTCAGAGTTGCCACCCACCCCTCTTAATATTTCAGAAGGCTCAAGTTCACCAGAAAGAACTTCGCCACCAGATTCTTCAGTGATTATTACACTTTTAGACCATGCAACAAAGAGTAACGATGATCCAGATGTGTCTGAATCAAAAGATTGTATGGAAGAAAAATCACAGGCAGTACAGACTTCTACTAGGAGCACTGAAAGTGTTAATGAACAGTTGGAGAGTCCGGATTTGAAGAACATTGGCTCCAATACTGGGGAGAAAAATGACAGAACTTCAGTAGCTGAAACAGTGAGAAAGTGCTGGCCAGCCAAGCTCGCAAAGGAGCAGATTAGTAAACGGCTTGATGGTAAGAAACTATTTTGGAAGGTATAATTATTGAAAGAAAATACTTGCAAGAAATAAGCAACTTTGGCAGATTTGTTGATAGGGTAGTTTTATGCAGCTAAATGTATCATTACAAAGTTGAGTAGTCAAGCTAGAGAAAGATAAACAGTGGTATCTTACACAGTGTGGGAAAGAAAGTGTCTTTGAAGTACTAAGGTACCTTGTGTTACTCTCGTCTAGGGAATAAGAAGGTTAGCATTAAATCGAGAGGAAAATCGGGAAATATTGAGTGCCCTGCCATTGTCTGGTGAGAGATTTAGTGGGTAGAAATGATGACTAAGATTTAGTGCTTACTGTGGGTCAGCTGTTTTACATACATTATCTGATTTTAATTTCATGTGGTAGGAACTATTATTACATCTCTGCCACAGGTAGGAAATCTGAGGACCATAGAGATTAAATACCCCATGCAAGGTAACAGCTAAGATTTGGAAGAACCAAAATTGGATTTCAGACATATTCCCAGAGCCTGCCCTTGAACCACTATGCTATGTTGTCTCAGATCTAGAAAATTTCTGATTCTTCTCCATTAATTATAAGGAATAGCATCTCCCCTTTTGCCACATGGAAAGTCTTTACCAGTTAGTAGTAACATAGGTAAAATCATTTTCTACTTTTTGGAAATCAGTGTTTAAGTCCAAATAACATTTGAAGAAAAAGTCCTAATTAAATCAATGTAAGAAACAGACTTAGAGAAGCAGTCTTGTACAACTTAAACCGTTAAGTCCCATTCCATTTACCCTAAGACAAATGTATTAAATGTTCTGATCATTTGTTGTAAATGAATTTTAGTTCAGTTGAATTAGCAAGTTATGGGAACACAATGATCAATCTATTGATGTTTTTGTATAATTTAAAAATAGAGGTGATAAAAAAATAGGTGATGTGTAAAAGTAGATCCACTTGGAGGGATTAGGTTATAGAAGGCTTTCTAAAAAACACCTTGGGACTTGAACAGTAAGTAGAATTAAAAGTAGGGGAAGTTTTCCCAGGGGAAACTAGAGAAAGCATAAAAGAATGCTTATGTTTACAAATGTGGTAGGAGTCAGAAGTAGAAAAATGGCCATTGATTTAGTCGGGTAATATAAATCTCTACATATACAAAGTCTGCACATGTACTGGAAGACTTTGCACTAGGGGTTTTCTTTGAATATCTTTTTGATGGGTCGGTCAAACATACAAACTTCTTTGCCCCAGTAAACAAAGGTTAAACCTGGAGCTGTCTCTTTGGCATTATACTTTGGTTTTACTCTACTAATTTATCCTTAAAGGTACAGGCTCTGGAATTAGATTCGAGTTGTGTCAGATATACCTTGGGCAGTTACTTGCTTTCTCAACTTTCTTAATCAGTAAAATGGAAATAAAATAGCACATACTTCACAGCATCGTGAGAATTTAGAAAGATAACTGAAGAGGGTAAAATTGTAGCTGTTAAAACCAAATAACCAACTGACTTGACGCACCCATTTTAGTTTGCCACTATTTATGTTGTGAGGTCAAAGTTGAAAGGAAGCCGACCCACATATATGAGGTAAACTAACTTAATCTGTCTTGATGGTTGCCAAGAAGAGGGCAAAACCAAACAGATATAGGATACTTGAGCTGTGAAGTAGATTATACAGTTCTTTTGGGAACCCAGAGCAGAATAAAGCATTTTTTAGAAGCATGGACCAAAACTATAGAAAGGCAAAGTGCAGCACAACCATGTGCTGGGACCTGGGACCCCTTAAAAGACTGATGGGTGTGACTCAGAGATGTCCCTCTTAAGAAATGCCAGATGGGGTTGTCTGTCAGCAACTATAATACAAGTACTTGACTCCCTCCCTGATCCTGGAAATGAATACTACTCGCTTAGAAGACTGAAGAGTACTGTGTTATTCTGAAACAGAAGAAAATAAGTGGTTTTTACATTGTGATTTGTGATCTATTAGGAGATTGTGAAATCAGTTTCATGGCTTCTTTTTGGGATTGTCATGATGAAGTTGTTTCAGTGTGAGAACTGGGTCATGATGGGGTATAAAAAAGTGTGAAGGCCATTTTAAAGAGAAACTAAGGTATGCTTAGCAGATGGCACATCACTACAGATCATTTAGGCAATAGTCAGGCTTTTGTGAATCTGGGGGGATGTGTAGTATAACATTTATCATGTGTGAAAGTAGACATTAGAAGCTACTTCTGAATTTTGTTTTACTCCTCACCCGAGGACATTTTTTCAGTATTTTTTTCAGATAGAGTGGGAGGGAGAGAGAAACATCGACATGAAAGGGACACATCGAGTGGTTGCCACCCACACGACCCAACCAGGGCCGGGGACAAACTGCAACTGAGGTACATGCCCTTAGCGGGAACTGAACCCAGGTCTCTCCAGACTGCAGGCCAACGCTCTAACCGCTGAGCCAAACCGGTCAGGGCAAGAGTAGAACGTCTTATAAGAGGTTTTCTTGACCTGGGTCCATGGCTTAGAGGGGAGAGGGAACTCTTCTTACCATAGGTCAGACTTCATACTGTGAAAGTAAACTTGGGAAGGAGTTAACAAAGAAAGGTTAAAATCCATTGCTAGATCAGTGCTTCTCTTTCACACTTTAGTGTGTACTAGGACTCATATAGATTTAGTAGGTGGGAAGTGTGGGACCTGAGAGTCTAAATTTGTAACAAATTCAAGTGATGGCAGTGTCTACAGACTACTTTGAATAGGTGGTGAAGCCATACTGACAGACTACTTTTAGGTTTATGATAGGCAAAGGTAAATGAAAATGTTTAATAAAGACCCTTTGAAAGCATCTATGCCTTAGAGAAGTTATATTCAATGAATATAAATTAGGTATCTGATGTAGGCTAGGCTGGATACTTGATTTCATCGAATCAGATCTGTCCAAAGGAGTTGGTTAAGTAACCTTTCTTGAACATGGTTCTCTACATTCTGTTTCATAATTTACTTCATAGGGTTGCTAAAACAATTTTTTTCCAGATTAAGAAATTGAGGCAGAGAGATAACTGCCCAAGTTTACAAAGCTCTGGTGAATAGCAAAACTACCACTATTGAGTCTATAGCTTGTTTTTGAAAATCGCTCAAGTAGTAATAGCCTCTATTAATGATACTCAGGTAAAAGGCAGAGCTGGAACCTACACTTATTCCAGGCTGCCCAATCAGACCAAGTTAGTCTTACAAAACTGGAAATAACTTATTTCTCTCTGCCCAATCAGACCAAGTTAGTCTTACAAAACTGGAAATAACTTATTTCTCTTCTTCTATTACTATATTTCAGGTAATCAATATCTGTTTTTACCACCAAATCGTTATATTTTCCATGGTGCTGAGGTATATTCAGACTCTGAAGATGATGTCTTATCCTCTAGTTCTTGTGGCAGTAATAGTGATAGTGGAACATGCCAGAGTCCAAGCTTAGAAGAACCCATGGAGGATGAAAGTGAGATTGAAGAATTTTACAATGGTTTGGAAGATGATGCTGATATTAATGAGAGAGCTGGAGGAACTGAATTTGGAGCTGATGGAGGTGGTCAAGAGGTAGTTAATGAAACTATATCTCTGAAACAGGAAACAACAGACATTAACTATCCATCAAACAGATCATAATGTAATTATTGTCCAGGTACAGGAATTGTTCCACCAGCATTAGGAACTTTAGCATGTCAAAATGAATGTTTACTTGTGAACACGATAGAACAAAGGAAACCAGAAAGATGTAATATTTATAGACTGGTGAAATAGATTTTTCCCCCCCATGGGTAATTTTAACTTCTTTATTTCTGTACTTGCACACTCAACACTAACTTTTTTTTTTTTTTAAAGAAAGGTACTAAGTATCTTTAATCTGCTCTTGGTTAAGATTTTCTTTAAAAGGTTCATTTGTATGATACATCCATATGTATATATAATTTTTGTTTATACATTTTGCCTAGTTGAGTTTCAACATTTTAAAGTTTTCAAAAAGCCATTGGAATGTTAAATTAATGTAAAGGGAACAGCTTATCTAGACCAAAGAATGGTATTTTCATTTTCATTCAATTTCTTTGTAACATTGAATGGTTTGAAATCCTCAAATCTCTGTTCTGCTAAACTTTTGATTATTAGCACAATTACCTATTTTTAAACACTGGCATTTTCCAAAACTTATGGCAGCTAACTTTTTAAAAATCTCATGACATGCAGTGTGAGTAGGTTAACAATATGTGGGATAGCACTCGGTTGTCTTTGCTTTTTAAAGTAAGACTTGGTGCTAAGAGTTTCTGGATTATTGTATTGTTCAAATGAAAATGGCTTTTGTACTTCCTGTGGACATGTAGAAATGTCTATATTGGCTCATGAAACTAACCTGTAAAACAAATAAATGCTTTGGAAATGTTTCAGTTGCTTTAGAAACAATAGTGCCTGCCTGGGTCCCCCTTAGTTTTGAGAATATTTGCCATTGTTGTTTAAATACCTATCACTGTGGTAGAGCTTACATTGATCCTTTCTCACAAGTATTAAACTGCTAAGATGTGAATATGCAAAAGCCTTTATGATCTATAATAATGGTACTTTGGGGAGAGTGTAATATTATGGACTGTTGCTTTTCATTTCCACAGATGAGAGTGACAGGTCCCTGATTACGGTTCCAAAGTAATAAAATATTAATTATATATAACTCAGCCAGTAAGTACATGTCTCCTGTTGGGAGTATTTGGTGTAATAAACACCAAACTGCTAGCCTAGTACTATGGAGATGAACATGATGTAACTTATAATAGCAGAATAATTAATGAAATGAATCCCTATTGTGTCTTTATTTAAGAGCTTAGCCTGCCTTAAAACTAGAGATCAACTTTCTCAGCTACAGAAGCTTCTAGCCTTTCAAAAAAGTTCACACTTTTTAAAATTGCACACAAAACATTTATTTTCCAGACTTTTTGCAACATTACTCCCAAATTATTAAGTATTCTTATGTTACTTTGGTATTTATTCGTTTTTTAAAAAGGGTTTGAAATACAGCTGTTCTTTAAGCATAAAATACCCAGCTAGGACCATTACTGCCAGAGGAAAAATTTTTTGAATGGCCACTTCCCTACCTAAAAGATGTCTCAATCTCAATCTATTTGGCTATACTAAAGAATGCAGTATAAGTATATTTAGTTTTTCATTTGCATGATGTGTTTGTGCTATAGATGATATTTTAAATTGAAAAATTTGTTTTAAATTATTTTTACAGTGAAGACTGTTTTCAGCTCTTTTTATATTGTACATAGTCTTTTATGTAATCTACTGGCATATGTTTTGTAGACTGTTTGATGACTGGATATCTTCCTCCAACTTTTGAAATACAAAACCAGTGTTTTATACTTGTACACTGTTTTAAAGTCTATTAAAATTGTCATTTGACCTTTTTCCCGTTAACTTACATTGTTTAAATTACACAATTTAAAATATTGTAGTTTGTATAGCTTTCAGGGCTATATTAGCAGCTTTATTTTCATAGCAAATTCCTTCATTCAATTTATAACCATCTAATTAGAACAGTACTTAAGCAAACGCTGATGGTGCTGGGCTGTAGCAATTGGTGTATCACCAAAAGTTTCAAAACCAGTATTTTAGCCATTCTAGGTCAGGGACCTTAGTAGGTGAGATGTAGGGGAAAGGCAGAGCTTAAGAAAAACTTGACATATAAACACTTGGGGGTAGGGGGGTGCAATAGGGAATGGTGCAAATGTAGTGAATTCAAGAGCCCATGTTAGGAAATCTAGGTTTTCTGTGAAATTTAGTCTCCTGGTATTAGATCTTCCAAGTCTTCATGCAAGGAGTGGGTGGAAAAAAATGACCGCAGAACACACTGGGTATTAAATTAAAAAAAAAAAAAATGCTTTTATTGATTTTTGGGAAGAAAGAAAACCATTGATAGAGAAACACTGCACCGCCCCCACCATCAAGCCCAAAACCCTCCCTGAGGGGGAATCAAACTGGGACCTTTTCAGCCCTTGGAACATCGCTCAATCCACTGAGCCACACCAGCCTGGTGGGCACTGAACTTTCTGAGGCTGACCTGGATACATTAATCCATTCAAAGGCCAGGAACACACTCCTTAATCCCATCCTCAGTTCTATAAATGGTGTAGCCCTGGCTGGTTTGGCTCAGCGGTTAGAGCGTTGGCCTACGGTCCAGAGAGACCTGGGTTCGGTTTCCACTAAAGGCATATGCCTCAGTTGTGGTTTGTCCCCAGCCCCGGTTTGGGTCATGCGGGAGGCAGCCACTAGATGTGTCCCTTTCACATTGATGTTTCTCTCTCTCTCTTCCTCTCTCCCTCACACTCTACCTGAGCAAAATGGAAAAATGTCCTCGGGAGAGGATAAAAAAATAATGGTGTATGTACTTTCAGTCAGTGGTGTTTTACATCCACCTATTAAGCATTATTTGGTTATTTCTCTGAAACAAGTCTCAACTCCTAGACCTGTAATCTAAAAGGTGAGTGTGGTTTAAGCACACCAAAACCTCTCAGAAATGAACAGTGTAAGCCTTAAACTCAAGCAGAAATACGGAGAAAGGGTCTCGTCCCTCTTGTGTGTATTCAACTGGAACCTTTACAAGTATGTAGCACCTACTTCGCATCACTTCTTAAGGCTTCATTGGCATAAGGTGGGGCTTGTGCACAGTATTAAAAAGTACCCCCAGATGATTGAAAAGACAGGGGTTACCTTTTGCACTTAAGCCATCCCTAGGGAAGGGAGTGTTTTAACAGGGAAGGCCTACTTACATAGAACAGGCAGGCTGTATTCCCAATTTAGCACTAGCAAGGATGGGGAGCTATGGAAATAGGGTGAATTCTTTAGCAAAAGGAGAAAACTAGCATGAGTTTGGATGGCCAAAGTGCAAAAGGTTGGGGAGTGGGAAAGAGGCTGAGAACAAGAACACATACCTCGCTTTCAGAGCTCACCATATACTCTTCAGGGGAAGACTGCCCTGTACATACAGTCATCCCTCACCACTTTGTGCTTCGAGGGTCGCGGCCTCACTCTATTGCGATTTTTCAAATACAGTATAGCCGCAAAGGTCGAAGCGTGAAGTGGAGAGAGGTACGACTATAAATAAAGAATCCTACTTCGCGGAAATTCATTTATCAGGGTAGATTCTGGAACTGATTAACCACGATAAGCGACCGACTGTATGTTAAACTAAATGCAGTAAAGTCATGTCAGTAAGACCAAAAATCTGTTAATAGAAACAAACCCCAATGAATGGTTCTTATGAGTGGACTGTAAGAAGGTTGGGTGGGACTCTTGATTTAGGTCTGTTTAAAAATCCGCACTCTGGCTTTATTACATGCCAATTTAAAGCTGCCTAGGTCCTGGTCTATGAAGCTCAAGGTGGTTTCTTTCCTTCTTTGTTGTCAGTGGTATTTTAATCTTTTACCACGAATCTTAATGTATGTCTGCAGAGGAAAGAAAATATCAGACTGAACCAAAATTAAGCCTGTACTATTGTGTTCCCAGATAAGATGCCAGGTCCTTGTTAAAATATTGTTCAATGAATTCCAAAGTGGCTGCTATTTCACAGATCAGCTTCAGGGCACATATGTTTTTGATGTGAACAATCACTACCCTCAAGGAATGTATGCACAGGGAAACAGTATATTATCAGGTACATGGAATAATTTTCATAGGGAAAAAGGCTATTTTGAGGAAAATCATCTGGGGGGGGGGGTGGAATATGTTTTAGGGCCTCTATCTACATAAAGACAGCTGTAGCCACCACTAGAAGTTTTTAGGTTAAACTACTGAGAAGTACAGGTCCAGTCTCTTTTCCAAAATTCCTGGGCTCATTTGCATTTTGGAATGAATGGTAAAGAATTTTTTAAAGCACATATGTTATGTAGCACCTCACAAGGGCAGCATTTAAATCAAACACAGTAAGTAATCAAACACATTAATAGTCCCATATAATACCATAAGTAGCCTTAACAATTTGGATCAGGTTTTACTGCAAAATGAGGTACGCCAATTTTTTTCAGAGTAGTTTTAGATTTTGGAATGACAGCTACGAGATTCAGGGACCTCTATAAAAACATTTGTATGGGAATGGAAACAATCCGAAAGTTAAGAAACCTTCCCTGAGACATTTAAAACTTGTATGAGAACCACTGAAAATTTAAATATTAAACCAATAAATCTTTATTATTTGAACGGGTTTCACGGCATATTTTTATAAATTTAAAAAATAAATATTTGCATTATAGCATAAAGTCACATGTGTTGCATCAACACTTACAATTTAATTACAGGAGATAACTAAGCATCAGCACCATAAAACTAAGACTTGTTTCTTAAAAATCCAAGGAAATGGTTCTAAAACACTGAAAATTCTGACTACATACCAGCTGGCAGCATCAATAGTATGAAAGCTATAACCCAGTGATTGGTTCTCATAGCAGCCATTGTTTCTATTTCTGGCAACTGTAGTACAAAGTTCTTCCACTACTAAATATTAAGCTTTCTGATAACTTATCAGTAGTAGCATCTCAAGATTCACAAAAGGAAAGAACTACAAGTTATTTAGACAACTCCTATCTGTAATTTATGTTTGCACAAGGACATTCTAGCAAAAAAGCAAAGATTGTGTTTTCACCATGCTAATTTTTTGCTTTTATAAATTCTCAGAATAAGATTTAAATCTTAATTTTTAACCCTTAAAAGTCATCTCAGTTCAATTACAACCATAGAAACTGTACTGGTATCAGATCATAACTATTTTATTACAAAACATTATTTACAAAATGAAAAAATAATCAAATGACTACTGCAGGCCCAAGTTAAAGGTTCTCACCCAGTGATTGAAGAAGAATCAGGCAACGTTTCCATGCACTCACACACCACATCATCTGTGAAATAGGCAAACTCTTAAAATTCGTGTTAGTAAAACTTCAATGTATTCACAATACTTGTATGTTTATTGAAAGATGGCCCCAAAAATCCATGGTTCTGTACAATAAGTTTAATATGAACACAGTCTGTATTTTTCCTGTAATATTTTTTGGCTTTCATGAATATTAATAGCATTGAACATTTTGCAAGTAAGAATTAAAGTAACTTCCTCTGTCACCTTGCTGACTGAATTCATCACCACAAGAAAAACACAATTAGTTTAATGCTTCTGCAGTAAACAATAGTTATAACACCGAAGTTATATTAAACTGAAGCCTTCATTGTGATCAATAGCCTGGATCAGTTTAGAGCGGAGAGTTTCTTTTTCTGTATACTTTGGAAGATCCAGAAGATTAAAACAGGTATGGGAAACAGGGAGATAATCCTCACCACCTCCTGTTGACTGGATGACTAGTTTTAAACTCTTCATACCAAGAATAGGAATCCGATCACTACCTGTTAAAAATACTGCCAAGAAAAAAATAATTCAGCTAACCACTTTTATCAAAAACAATATACAGGGTATTTTAATCAACACTGGCTTTATAATTATTCAAAGTATGCATATACTTTTTTGGGACACCCTATAGATTTATCAAATTATTTCTACAGTAATTATAGCAAAGCTTTACATGAACACATTTGCTCTAATGTGGAAGTCTCCTCCAGAATTTGAGAGCATGATTTTTTAGAGAGAGAGGAACAAAGAAACATCAATTGGCTGCCTCCTGCATGCCCCCTACTCAAGCCCACAACCTGGGCATGTGCCCTGACCAGGAATTGAACTGGGACCTCTCAGTCCCACTGGACAATGTTTCAATCCACTGAACCACACCAGCTGGGAGTGATTTCTGAGACATAATGATAATTACATATCCACACAATATTTTTTTCTTTAAAAGTGTAACTTTAATTAGCACAGAGGAGATGTTTAATGAATGTTTGAGGAATGAATGACTTAGTGTCCCCCACAAAAACATTTGGGAGCCCTTCTTTTGAGAATGGTCATTTAGAACTAGTTCATAAATAAAATACAAGCTGCCATTTTGATTATTTTTTTTTTTCCATTTGTTTTGACAAGTCATTTTTAAAAATTTATAACTGGCAGCCAAAACTCAAATCACTTAAGAATGATATGCAAAATAGTTTGACCAAGATTCTTATTTCAGTTATCAAAAAGAGACCAACAAAATATCCCTGGCAATAGCAGGAGTATTAAAGGGTATATCACTGATTTAGATACATAAATTATGACAACTTTATTTAAAAATAAAACTTCCATTAGTAAACAGATTTTAACAAATGAAAGAAACACGAGATTAAACTATAAATAAAAGAACTAAGTCCTGGAAAAGTTCTATTTTCTACAGACATTCCCAAAGTTTTGGTGCAGAAGCAAAGAGAAAAATGAAAACAGAAAAAGAGATCTTTTTTCTAAAAGAAATTACAACCCTAGTTTACTGTAATCAGTATTATAGTTGGTTTAAT